ATGCTTCTGTCTCAATGATTTTCAATGAATTATTGCAGCAGTGTGAATTAAATTGTTATTATGTGAAGCTACTGATTTCTGGAACTGTTTGTTACTTATTCAACCTGTACTAACTAATGCTCTGACCAGTATCAATCAAAACCATTCATACTAAATCATACAATCTTTTATTGCAAACTGCTTATCTTCAGAATTTTAATTCATCTGCTCTCTTAACATAACATGTTTCCTCCCTGGAAAAACCCAAGCTCAGGATATCTACGCCATTGTCTGCTTACCCAGCTTTATACTGCCTTCTAGCTATAGAGTAAAAAAGCAATTCACAAAGTCAAGAGGACTGGTACTACCTCAGGTGGGCCCCAACGCTGCACAGGACCTCCTACCAGTCCACCTGTTTGACAATTTCCTCAATGTTTCTTGAGCTCTTGGAAACATCTAATACTGTTTGACCATTCCCTCCTTGCATTGTTCCCTTCCCTTGGCTCTCATTCTGTTACTCTCCAAGTTTTCAGACCTCTCTTATCATTTCTTAAGTCTCCTTCACACTTCATCATGCTGTCCCAACTCTTCTTTCTCTACTATCCTTAAAATCCCATATTGTCTTCTATGCTATCAGCCTGTGGAGGCAATCTCACCTACTCCCATGGTTTCAACTACCATGTACATATATTGACATCGGTAAAACTTATATCTCCATTCTAGACAAGTCTTGAGCCTCAAACCCCAATGATGGCTCCAATAGGCACAAAAATTGTATCTGAAACTGAAATTACAACCTTCTCCTCCAAAATCTGCTCCTCCTCCATCTGCCCTTCCTTTCTCAGTGGCTCCCCTTAGCCACAGCCTAGCAAAATGATGTAACTCTGCCTCCACTCCACAATTATTTATAACTCTTTCTACCATCTAAGTGTACTTTTAATCTGTGCCTTCTACATACCTCCCTTACCAACATTTGTATTTTCTTAACTGAGTTACTTCAAAAATATCTTGGCTGATTTCCATATCTCTAGTTTTACTCCTCCAAATCATCCTATATGGCTGACACACAGATCTTACCAACATAAAAATCAGATGATATCTCTTCCCTGTGGAAATCTTTCAATGGATCCCTACTGCCTTTGGAACAAATAATTGTCTCTTCTGAACTTAGACACTTTGTCCAGTTTCCCACTGGACATTTTTACCCTAAGTTTCCATAGTAACTGATACTCAACTTATCTACCCTTCCTGAATGTATCCAAGTCTGAGTTCATTATATTTCTCTTTCCATGAAGAACACCACCATCTCACCTATGCCTGAATCAAGTATCTGAACAGCACTGCTGACAACTCCAGCCCTCTCTCCAACATCCAGTTCAACACAAATCCTTTAAATTCCTCCCATTTAATATCTCCTGAATTCATCAGCTTTTCCTCAATTCCAGCACAAATAGCCTAGCCCAGATCACTATAATCTCTTGTCTGCAACCTCCACCTAAACAGTATCCTTTTTCTAATCTTGTCCTCCCTTCAAAACCTTTCTCCACATCATAGGCAGAATAATCTTTCTAAATGTTATAACTGTGATTAAAACTTTATAATGATTTTCCACTGTTTTCAGCACCATAAAACATAGCTTTAATGGCTTAGGTCCTAGTGAGGAAAGAAGAATAAACAAGATAACAAGGCAATAGATAGTAGCAGCACTTTGGGGAGGGAAGATGGCTTTACATTTAATGGTCAGAGCCAGTCTCTTACAAAAGTGACATTTCAGTGCGACCTGAAGGATCAGAAGGATCAGAAGGCGCTAGCCTGGACAAAGGAGGCAGACTTCAATTTGCTTACTTACCATCATCTCCACTGAGCTGTGAGCTCTCTGAAGGCAGGACCTATGATTTATTCATCACTTCGTTCTAAACAACTACCACAGTTTTTGGCACACAAAGGTTTTGAAACATATTTGACGAGCGAAGGGATGAGTGAAGTTTATATTTTGAAGCAGGGCAGCTTTAGACTAATTGTGTGCTCACGTTTTTTTGTACATTTGTTGATATCAACTTGCGGAACTTCTAAGCGTACAAATTTCTAGGCAGACAAAAATGAATGGGACTTAGACTTTAAAGAGGAGTTTTGCTTTCTTTAAAGCCTTCTGAAATATTTAGAAAGGATTCTGCACAGCAATCTCTTAACAACCAGGATCCCTATGAGGATATCAGATTGGGTGACCAACTTGTTAGGCTAGTGCAAGGCCAGCTAGGAGAGCACCAACCGTAAAAGCTGGTCTCAGTTATCAGGAGGGACTCTCAGGCTCCGTGGCTTTGAGTTTCTTAAGAGGCAAAACTGTTTTCATACAAACCCAAATCAACTTCAGATACTCAGATTTGTAAAGAAAATGGTTTCAAGTCATTATGGTTCACTTCTACTAAGCAGGACAAAACAACTAAGGATTCTTTAAAATACACAGTATTGCATTTAATGACTGGATTTGATTCTCGAAAATAAGATATTCAGGTTCATAACCCCTTACTTGCAAAGTGAAAGGCTTTTGGATTTTTTTTTAAACAAATTTGGCAGCAAAACCTGACCTGATATGAAAATATTTATATCTTTTGTTTAATCTATTTACTGTGACTATTCATTTGTTTCACTGTAGAAATATCACATGTTGAATTATAGGGTGCTGCCTCTGACCCCACAGGAATATTGGGAAATAAATGATATATGCAATGTACTTTTTTTCTAAAATTCGAAAAGTTCTGACCATCTCCCCCAAGGATTTTGAATAAGAGATCTGTATTGTATTATAATGCTCACCCAATTCTATTATCTTGAGTTATAAAACTTGCATAATGTGTGAGCTTTGAAGTACTGGGAGAAAATAAAGTCACAGAAGCACAATTAGCATGACTTTAGCATTTGGAAGTTAATATAATTGAAAACTGTTCTGGGTTTCCTCTCAGATCTGATCAGAAGTATGCATGCCATGCCACTATGCTATTGCTTTTCCAGTAAGCATAAACCTCTACGAGCTACAGGTTCAGACCGTGAGGAAAGTTTTATGGATAAATCCTTTACACCACACCCAGCCTTCATCTGGGCATTACAATCTTCAGAATAATTTGCCATAGTTTCTAGTTTCCCCAAGTACTTCGCTGGTATCATTCTATGACTTTTATAATATTCTTACATTGTTTTCCCCCACAAGTTTCAAGAAGCAGTACCTACCTGTTAGGAACAAGGTTTCTACTCTTTACAGGGCACATACCCAGTACCCAGCTGCAAACATCATTATGTATGTTATTTCTGGTTATCACAGTCATCCTGTAGAGATATTTTCTATTCTTCCCATCACACAATTGAGCAAACTCATGATCAATTTGTCCAAGGCCACATGGCTACTAAGTGACAGAACAAAATCTGAACCCAGAAACATCTAGTTCCAAAGTTTGTTTCTTCCATAATACCATGAGGCAAATAACGGCCTGTGTTCAACTTATGCATAGTTGGAATTAAGATTTTAATGCAGTTTTAGCCATGGTAGTGTAATTGTTTTTTTAAAAATGCCTATTCTAGCAATTTGACAGAATCTACAGGCCCATAAAATAAAGATACAAAAATTGGTTTTAAAAGATTCAAGTCTTTTAAAGCCATATTAAATGTCAATCAATATAATTTTGTTTTTTGTTTTATTACTTAAAAAAACACAAATAACTGAAATCACGTAGGTTTATCAGCAAATATATCAAAATTGGATGTTTAATATTCACCCACCTTTTGGAAGTGTCACCTACATTTATTGGAAATGTCAATCAAGGGGAAGAGAAAGGCTTACACCTTATAACAACATAGCGTAAAAGGATAGAGGTGAAGATCATTAATGATTTTAATGATTTTAAGACCCATTAAAATTAGAGAAATTCAAAGCACCCACGGTGTTAAGGATTTATTATTACAGCATTTAGAGTTTACTAGTTCATACCTTTCAATCACAGCAAGTTATTAGCAGTGAAGGGATGAACCCTCTTAAGAGGATTTTTATTTCAATGATAGGATGTTATGGACAAGACAACCTAAGTTTAAAAAAATTAGTAGCAAGCGCTAGTTGAGTTAATCAGTTAAAGACAAACTGTGCCCTTGGGAAGCTAAATGAAAAAGCAACAGTAAAGCTTACAGAACTTAGCTCGTACAATTTGCCTTGAAGGCGGAAGATTGGTTCCCTGAAATAGCAAAGAATTATATGCTTTAGTTCAGAAAAAAGTTTTTAAAATAAAGTCTGTTATTACCTCTTCTCCTTTCAAAACAATGGAAAAATTCTAGAGCAGAGGTTTCAATTTGTTCAATAATTGTACCTCTGAATTTAAAAAAAACTGTAAAGTCATCATTGTTTTGACTTGAAAAGAAATAACAATGCAAATATTCATTATCACATAAAACATAAAAGAAACAGCAAACTGTCAGAGTTAATGCAATCTCTGCAGAGCGCTATTAGTCAAAGACAGCTGGTCAGCTCAAAACACAAAAACTCAAAGATCAGATCTTCTTAAGAATTAACATCTTCATTAACCAACAGGAATTTAGTGTGGCAGCGATTAAATCCAACAACTGCCTTCTTTATGAGCTGTCCCTTCACTGTTAACTAAGCTGTGCAAATGTGTGAACTAGTCAGCAGCACCAGAAAGCTCATGCAACTACTCACCATATTTTAACCTTGAACTCACAGAGTCTATGTTAAATCAATTTAAGGGTAATGTAAGCAAGCAGACACAAGGAGCCAGATTTGAAAAGCAGAGCAAATAGCAGAAAAGTTATTCAAAATAAATCAACAGGGTTAACTGCATAAAATATGAAAAAAAAGCAATTCACACTACAAACAATTTAAAAGCAAAACAAAAACAAAACAAAAGCAGCATTTCCAGCAAAATCTGCACATGATTTTAATCTGCATTAGAAAAAGTCAATCAAGCAATTGAGTTCATATTCTTTGGGGCATGCAGGCAGTGATTCTTTTAAACAATTCCTACCTGATTTCCAATTGTGTTTTTCTTGTGAACCTGACTGCTCCTCTGCTGAGCACTGAGAAAAGCAAAGGAGAACAGCACTGAAGAAACTCATAGGATTGTTTTCTGAACAAGTAACAGGTATTAAAATATATACCAGCTTCATACATCAACATCTGAGGCTCAGACAATATAAAAAATCCAGGTCAGTTTAATTCTAGAAGCAAAACCAACCCAGTGGAACTTCTAGTACCATTTAACAATCACAAACTGAAAATACTATATCGTGGCAAGAATAACAATATGAGTCAATGCAAGCATTTGTTATGTCCTGCAAGTATACAGAATGGTTGTACTAAAAAATTACCATGCTAACATTTATTGAGTTTATGCCATGTTCTGCCTGACAGATATGAGTGTTTTTTATTTGAATTTAACCCTGTGAAGTAGTTACCATTACTCTTCTCATCTTACAGCTAGAGAGACTGAGTCACAGAGAAGCTAAGCAGCTTTTCCAAAATTACTCAGCTAATAAGTGGTGCTACCAAGTAGTTTGAATCTAGATCCCAAACTCTTTGTGATACTACCCAACCTCACTGCTTTGAACTCCATTATATCCTGCAACTCCCATAGTGCATCTCTAGTGTGGACCTATCTCCTCTATTCGAGACTTACATATGCTTTTGACAACTCAGCATCTCCACTTGGGTATCTAAAGGGCATCTCAAATTTAATATGTTAAAACTGGACTCCCTAAAACCTGCTCTATCCACAATCTTCCCTTTCTTACTTAGTGGCAATTCCTTATTTCCATGTGCTTAAGCCAAAATCCCTGATTCCTCTTTCACACTCCATGTCCAATCATCTGCAAATGCTATTGACTCTACTTTTTAAAATGTATTTAACTCAATATCTTTTAACCACTTCTTTGCTACCACCTTGGTCCCAGCCACTATTCTCTCTCTTATTACAACAATGACTTAGTCTCTGGTCTCTGCTTCCATACTTGTCCCTGTAATGGCTATTTTCAACACAAGAGCCATTGCCATCCTTTTAAAAAGGAGATCATATCACTCTGCTCAAAACCTTCTACTGCTATGCAAATACCATTCCACTCTGGGCAAAAGTCAAAGTCCTTATAATGGTCTACAAGGTCCTGCTCAACTGACCCCCTATCCTCTGTCTCAGTAACTCATCTCCCCCTACTCACCAGCTCTTACACTACAGCAATTCCAGGTACATGGGTCTCCTTTCTTTTTTTTCAAGGTCACCAGGCACACCCCCACGTCAAAGCCTTTCTGCTAGCTGTTCCCTCTGCCTACAATATGCTCCCAATGTATCTGCATGGCTCCCAACATCACCTCCTTCAAGTCTTTTCTGTGAGACCTACTGTGACCACCTTATTCAAAATCATATCCTTCCGTTCATCTAGGACTCTCATCCCCTTTATACTGTTTATTTTTCTCCATGGCATTTTTTACCTTCAAACAAACTATTCAGTTTACTGATTTTTTTGTGTTTATTGTCTGTCTCCCTCCATCAAAAAGTAGGTTCCTTGTGAGCAGGAGGTTTTGTCTGTTTCTTCTACATCTCCTCAGTGCCTACAAACTACCTAGCATAGAGTTCATAATTGGCTTCCACAAATTATCTGTTGAGTTAAAAGACCAATGAGGTCGATATCATTAAAACATGAGCACAGAGAAGGTAAGAGACAGCTATGACCGCAACAGCTTAACCCTGGATCCCACATATTTAGGTGCAGTGTTACTTTCTCTATCAAAAGAATGAAGGCATTCTTTTGGTGAATCCATGAGTAAACATCTATCAATATAAGAGAACATGACTCATTTTGGTTATTCTGGGAAGACTAACCATACTGAATCCTCTAGATGTTTCTTTAATAGTTTATTACAGAAGGTCTTTTGGAGATTGACAGAACAGCCTAAAATAGAGGAAAAAACCATCAATCTTTTAAAGCGATGGGATATTATGGTTCAGCAGCACATCACAGATCAACACCACACTTAAAACAGTTTTGTTCAATACAGCAATGTTTTATAAATTCTCGTGATGTGTTTAAGCTGCTTCCCTTCACTCAAACTTGTAAAATACCATTTTCTAAATTCAGCTGAGAGTGGGGAAGAGGTAGGTGGTGAAAGGCCATATTAGATTCTATTACAAAAGATACATTGTATGTATTTTTGGTTTCCAACTTGCTAATTTCAGAGTTTCAGTTTCTTTTTTCTTTCCTTATTTTTTGTTGTAATTTTTTTAGCTTTTTAGTAAATGTTTAATTCCCTTAATCACTATGGAACTCATTTCTTGCCAACTACTACTCTACATAATCCAAATCTACATTTTCAGGTTTTTGTGGTGAGGTAGGGAACATGGTGACATTTGTGTCTGCCTGTGGCCAGGGGTCCAGTGTGCCCATGCTGCCCTCTGGTTGCCCACCAGCTGTCCACTGTGCCCTGAAGCATGGAGTGTATCTAAAGTACTATTCTTGCTGGGGCTCTGAATCTTTCCCATGCTTTCTTTCCTTTCTTCTAGGAAAAAAATGGAAAAACTACTATTATAATATAATCATATCTTCTTCACGGATATTGTCATGTCTTCTAAGCACCACAATTTTGTTTTAGGGTTTTTTTTTACGGGAAAATATTTTAAAATAAATGATTGATAGTTGTGATAACTTCAAATTATGACAGACCCACAGGTACTTACTTTGGAGTAGGCAAACTATTGCGGACCTTTTAATTATGAATAGTTCCCCTTAAAATCACATAAAAGAAAAGCTAAACATAAAGCAGAAGACATAGATTGTTGATGACCCCTTGTGCTACCTTACTCAAAGGGTATGACCTAAATAGACCTTGGTTTCTTAGCTTTAAAGTGTGTGTGTGTGTGTTTGTGTGTGTATGAGAGAGAGAGAGAGACAGGGATAGGGGTGGGGAACTGCACTAGGTGTTTCTTAGCTTCCTTTTAGATTCAAGATTCCTTGAGATGCAAAGTTACTCTAAGAAACTAATGAGCTACACTAGGTGAAGAGACTTTCCACTGACAGAGTTTTCATCCAAATAATGCATATTGAGGATACATCACTTGTAAGAATATGCAGGAGAAAAAATAGGTTTATTTTATAGGTCAATCTCAAAATCAGTGTTAGAACAAATACTAAATTACCTTTACTTTCCACCTAAAGAATAATCTTTTTGCAATAACTGGTCCCATAAATTCAAAGATAATGTCACTAGTGCCATATTTAGATACTTGAAACTACTCTGTAAGTAGCATAATAAAATACAAGCTGCCTGGTTAGGAAATATCTGTTACCATAATTCCTATGTATGCTCTGATAATTGAAAAGAATCTTCATAATGTGAAAGAATTTCATAACACTTATTTTAAAATGTGTTCGTGGAAAACCATGTAAGGACTTGCAAGTTGATTTGAACTTTTGGACACATTTTTGGTCATAGGTACTTAACTGGCTATCTCTGCAATATTGTAAAACATACTATGTATAATGTTTTAATTTGACATCAGTCAAAAATTTTAGGGCACCAACTACCTGCAAGGTACTCTGTGGGAGATATAAACATGAATAAGGTATGGTCCTTGTGATCAGAAGCCTACAATATATGCGGTACAGATAGTGAGAACATACACAAAACATGAATAACAAAATTCTATAAGAATAAATTTGTGACGACATAATAGAAAACCAAAAAAAAAGTGCTTCGATTTCAAATGTGGGTTATAAATACCCTTATCTTATTATGTGTATGAATGTGTTTGTTATTTGCATAAATTCCTTCCACACACTGTGGAAGTGTATAGAAGTCACTGTGGAAGGCTTTGTCAAAACATTATAACATAAAACCAAATGACCTGAGACATGATTTTAAAAGTATATATTCATAAAGAGGTTTAAATTTTTGTAAAAATTAGAGCACAATGGAAGACATTCAAAGAAAAAAGGATCCATGTTACCTATAGCTCAAGAATTTTTAGCATATTCATTTCTATCTTTGTCCATGTACATATACAATAAAAGACTCAAATAACAGGAGAGTGTGCCAAGGGAGTGTGTGACCATTTACCAAATAAATCCTATGCATAGTAATTGCCCTGAGTGTTCAGAGACAAGAAAGATTAGTTTGGTCTGATGTGATCTGAGATTTTCACAGAAAACCTGAAGAAAGGTAAAATTTTAATAGAGGAAGACAACCAATTGCATTCCAAGAGAATGGAGCAGTATTAGTAAAGCCAGGAGGTAGCAAAATGAGGCATGTAGGAAAGTTGTAGAAAGTAAAACTATTATGGAAAAATTATATACTCATAGCCTCAGGTTTGTAAATGACTTTAAAAGCCACCTAGTATAATAACTGTATGTTGGGGTCAATTATGGAGAATTTGGCTATTACACTAGAGACAGCAAAAATCATTCAAAGTTTCTAACCCATCAAATGGCATGATCAAAGCAGTGTTTTAGTCAAAATTACCTCTCTGAAATGGGCAATGTTGACTCTGAAACAGGGAAGCCAGGAAGCAGCCAGCCTAGACCCCCTCTCTCTGACTGCTGGAATCCTGCCCAGCCTTCAAAGTCCAGTCAAGTACCATTTATGTATTTTGCTTTCTTAGAGACCTCCAGCTATCTCTCCTACCCATGAACTCCCAAAGCTTTTGGGCTGTACCTGTATATAAACAGGGTTGTGTTATGAGCAGGTCTCTAACTCTCCTCTGACAATGTCTGTGTCCTTGCTGGCTGATGGTGTGTTGCATTAATCTTGAAATTTCTCCCTCTTTCACCACTGACATTACCTACTGCAGTGTTCATTGCAGTTTCTTTAGAAATATTTATGGAATTGTATTTGATACAAAGGTTATTTACAACCAGATTTTTAATGTTTATCTACAACAGGGAATTTAGATAATTCAAAAAAGTATTCCATAGACATGTGCTGTGGCAAGAGCGGTACATTTAGGGATCCAGAAGTAGCCAGTCGGTTGGAGCATCAAGTCAGGGGCAGCATAGAGAGGAATAGTGACAACAGAATAGGATGAATAGGTAAG